TGTGGCATGACAAGGCTGAATCAAGTGGAAGAAAGTGGGCCCTTTTGTCAAAAATTGAAGTTTCAAGGATAGTTGACTTTTGCCATTTCACAAAAATTTCCCAACTTCTCCAATGCATAACTTGCTCAATTTTTAAGCTTTTCTCATGTTCTTGGACATTTTGGAAAGGTCTTTGAGTCCTTTAACCAATGCCTTTGGTCCCATGTCATTTTGATTTTCCAATCTCAAGTTATGGCCTTTGACTTAAAGTCCCTTTTTGTTGACTTTTGAAAATGACCTATAATGTTGAAATTGATAACTTTTTGTGAGAGCATTTCTTGGACTTGAAGTATGAAGATGAGTTGTAGGAAATGTCTTTCTCTTCAAAATGAGCTTTGGATGGAATTTTTCTGATAATCCATGTGAAAGTTATGCCCTGGTCAATTTCAGTTGACTTTTTCAACTGTCCAAATAAGGAAACTTTTGCATCTTGATGATTTTCTGAGCCAAATTTTGAGAATCATGATCAAGCATTGATCAAATGATGTTTGTGGCTTCAAAATGATATGTTGACAAAAAATTTGAACTTTTGACTGCCAAATGACCATTTTGCCCCTACAGTTGACTGTAGTGCAATTTAGGGTTTTGACTGTGCAATTTTGAGCTGAATGCCTTGAAACTTGATATGAGGATGCTTGACCATGTTTGTAAGCATATGAGACTTGATTGGGCCTTTGAACACTTCCTTTTCTTGATCAGACTCAAAACCCTAATTTTGACTGTTTAGGAGGCCCTTGCACTGTGCAACCCTTGGGGAATTTTGTGACTTGGCTTGGCAATTTCTTGAAGAATATGGGAGGGCAAATTTTGGGGTATAACAATTAGCTAGATCTCATTAAACCCGAATTGTTCATGCGTTCAAAACATGTTTCGAACATCATCATCGTCACACACCTTTAGTTAATAAAATATGGCTTGGTTGTTGTCAAATAGAAATGGAGACTTGTAAAAATTTTGGTAAATTAGACCACACTGCAATTTTGCTTCCAGTCTATCTTTGAAGCGTGCAAAACTTGATTTCTTGTTTGTCCGAAAGCGGATAAAATCAGTATTACGAAAATTAAAACTGAAGTTATCACAGTTGAACGTCTCAACGTCAATATGAGCAAAAACAATTAAATTTTGTGAATGATCCATCTGTTGAGGTTTGCTTTTTGTGAGTTATGGATGTATACCAGTAATACACCTTAAATAGACGCTTAAATAAACTGATAAAAGTATGGGGTGTATACACTGATGCGCCACCTAGGGTGGCTTATCCTCTTTATTTTATAAGCATGCGCCACCTAGGATGGCTTGTCCTCTTTATATTGCAAGCATACGCCACCTAGGGTGGCTTGTCACGTGAACAACAAGCTTGCATGCATGCCATCTGATCACTGCCACGTTGCAGCTTTGCATGCATGCAAAAAGTAACAAACCATGTTGAATGGCGCCTATGTGTATAAAACAAAAGCATGCGCCACCTAGTGTGGCGCCTATGTGTAACTTGCATGCAAAGCATTCTCACGTGAATGCATAGTATTCCTCAATATTTTCTTATAAATACATATAACATTCACCCTATATGTTCATCACAATTATAACTCACATAATATTTCTTTCTTGAAACATCAATAAGAACACAAGAGTAACAAAAAAAATGCTCTCTTGACCATGTGCGATCAACATAGAGGAACTCTCAACAACATTGAAATCTTTGTAAGTTTATTTTCTTCAATACATGTTAATGATCGACAAATTTGATTTCCGTAATTCTTATGATTGTTATACGTAAATCTTATATTTCTAATACGTAATTCATGTTTTTAATACAATGTTAAAAGATTTCATTGACGGGTTCATGAGTATGTCCCTTACGACGTACAAATTGAACCGTACTTACGAAATATGGAGACCTGAAACTCACACCTTTTATCTTCCATGTGGTGAATGTACCGTCACACTAGAGGACGTGTACACGTTATTCGGTGCACCGATCGATATAAGGCTGTCAATGACCGAGTCAACCAAGACAACACCATATGCGAGGAACTTTTGAGAGTCTGTTTATTTGAAAAAGGGTCTAGAGGCCAAGGTATTAATCTCCGTCTTCTTAGAGAATATCATAGTAGTCTCGTAATAACCGAAAACTCCACCGAGTAAGAAAAAATTGTGAAAGCCCAGTGTTACATAATGATATTATTTGGCCACTTTTTATTTCCTGAAACAATGAGTAATACTGTTAATATCATGTATTTATCTTTGTTAAGACATTTTGATAAAATAAACACATATAGTTAGGGATCTGCTATTTTGGCCCATCTGTATAGTTCCTTGTGTAAAAACGCATCGAACGATAATTGTTCTTTCTATTCCTGTGCATTTTTGCTCCAGACATGGTGCTGGTCGAGAATGCAGACACTCGCCCCCACAACACAAGATCATTCGTCTTTCCTTTTGCTACAAAGTAAGATTAAGAAAACACAAATTTTACATACTATATATTATAACCAACATGTATTAAATTATTACCCATTTTTCTATGTAGGTGGTATATTCCTGGGATGAATTACAATAAATCTCCTAGAAACGCAATAGTAGTCTACCAAAATATTATTGATCACGTTAGACCAAAAGAGGTATCAAACTTACATATTTTATACATTACTTTCAATAGGTTAATTAAGTTTAATATTAATATTAGTTTAACACTTTTTCCTCTACAGTTTGTAAGGAGGACATATAAGGATCTCGACCATGAGATTAACCCAATAGGTACTGAAGTCTGGACTGCAAAAACATCACTCATCAGGTTCACTACTGTGGAGATGCACCACAGTGATCGCGTGAAGCTATAGTTTGGCATGCAACAGGGTATCCCTGACCCCCTACATGTTTGGGACAATGGCATCTATTCAGAGTTGACGACCAATATGGATTTAATGATTTGAGAGACTTCGCTAAAAATCAATGTCGTCAATGGAGGCATCCGCGTGAATTGGTCCTAAGGGAGCCGATCTCGCAAGTTGATTTAAAACCAACTCTCCAATATTTGACATGGTACACATCGGTTTCAACAAATTTGTTTCTGTCTCATGCGACATATTTGATCGACCCACGCAAAAGAGCTGCATCATACACCCAATAACAACCCCAACATCCAACCCCTCATCAATACCAAACCCAACAAAAATGTCAACCCACTCAAACCCAACAACCATACACCACCACATTCAATCAAACCCGTCATCAATTCATGTCACACACACAAACACAATACCAAGAGCATGACCCAATCCACCACCAACAATATGAATCCTCCACATCCTACCATAACACCCAAGACACATATGATACATCTCATTCCTACCATACCACCCAACCTACATAAAATCAAACATCACACCATCGAAATACCCAACCATCATACGAATTTCATGCACCACAAGAACCGTTGCTTCATTTCCAACACGATTAAACATCCCACTACTATCAACCACCCCACCCACACATATCCCAACCAACAAGACCAAAATTCAACAACATGGGCACCGATCTCTTTGGAAGCACAACACAGTGGAGCGAAATGATTGATGAGATGTATGATCCTGATGTACCAGGACCATCACATCAAACACCTCATCATCAAGCGAGTCAGAACAGATCTTAAACACCTCAGGAAAATCAACAAAGAGGAGTTAGGTAAGGGGTGAGACAAAGGTGGGGTCGTTTATGTCATACTGAGACCCACTTAGGTTGAGGGGACGTCCGGAAAAAAAATCCATGCATTGTGTAATATAAAATATTAATATAAAATATTTTTAGTTACTTTTATTTTTATTTAAAAAAATTAATAAATACAACTGTCAAGCCACACAAGGTGGCGCCTCCTCTCTATTATTGCATGCATGCGCCATACTGTATGACATTTACAGATGAGGACAAGTCATGCAGTGTAATATCTCCTCTTTAATTTGTATGCATGCGTCACACAGAGTGGCGCCTCCTCCGTGTGACCATTTTTTTTTTAAAAGTGATTACTTTGGTAATTTTTTTGATAATATGGTTATTTAAGATTTTTTTTTTGAATAAAATAGTTATCTGAAAAAAAAAATCCTAAAAGTGTGAATACAAATTTTTAAAAATACCATTTTTTAAATTTTTTTTTAAAAGACTTAAAATAAAATATGAGATATTTAAGAGGACACATGAATATTTAACCTGTTTTAATGTGAATTATATCATGTTTGTAATGAGTTCAATATCTCTAATACTCATATTTTTATTAATAAATTATAATTTTTTAATTAAATTTATTTATTTATTTTATTTAGTTTTAGAGAAAAGGGATAGTTTGTTTGATAATATAAATTATTTTTACATTAATGATATTTCATCTGTCTCATAAAAATGTCTCACTTTACTTTTTTCTTTTTTTTAATATTTTAAAATAATTGTCTCTTTACACTACTCACGCAACATTTATTATTATTTTTTATTACTATACTCATATTTTTTAGCTTTTATTTAATTTAATTGTTCTATTAATTATAATTAATAAAAATATTTTAATAAATAATATTAAATTTATCATCAAAATTAATAAATTTAATTATTTTCTTAAGGATCGTTTGTTATTTAAATATGACATTTTTTATGGAATGAAAGAAATAATTATACATCCTACTAAATCAAATTATAAATTATAAATTATTTATGTAATTTAATACTTTAAAATATTTTGATTAGATATTTGTGTAATAGTTATTCTTTACACATGCACTACAATTAAACTTCTAGTTTTAATGTGAATTATATCATTATTTAGTTTTAGTGTTATTTTTATGGATTATTATTATTATTACTTTTTAATATTTGAGAAATTCACAATGAGACGACACCGTTTGAAAAATGGCTAAACACTCCAATGAATTATTAGTATTAGGGTTTATCAGAAGAGAGAGAAAGAGAAAGGGAAAATGGGAGGCAAAGGAAGAAAAAGGAGAGAGAAGAACTACAAGGCTGCTCACGGTGGCGCCACCGCCCTCCCTCCACCGCCTAAATCCTCTCAACTCGATGCTCTCCCCTTCAAACTCCGCCAAATAATCTCTTTCTCTAAAAACCAAAACGGTTATTTCTCTTTCCCTTTCACATTCTCTACATCACTTCCTTATTTTCTCTTTCTCATTACATTTCCATTTTTTCAGATTCTCCTGGCTTATCAAAGAAATTAGATGGTGGAGAGGCTCAAAAGGTAAATACTTTATATTGTTTCTGCTCTCTGATTGCTGTATTTGAGTTGTCTAGGGTTTTATAGATATGTTAATTTTAATTTTAAATTTATTCAGACCCCGAACACGGCGACATAGATAATAATTTGAAAAAAAGTAAAAAAATTAAACGTAATAAGAAGTGTCGTGTCGGTGTCCGAGAGTAACACAGACACGCATTTTTATAGAGGTGTCGGTGTTATAGCTTCCAATCACCCAATTTAGGTTAATTCTTGGCTCTAGTTGCAACTGAAGTTATAAATAATTTTCTCAATATATTTGATAAATAAAATTGCATGTGAAATAGGTTGATACTAAGGTGGATACAAGCGCACCATTGAAGGCACCTCAACAGAGTGACGAACAGGTTAATGCTAATGATGATAAGAATAAGAAAAAAAGAAAGAGGAAGGAGGTTAAAGATCTTAGGTTTGCAATGGATGGGGATAAAACGAAGGCCCAGTTAAAGAAAAAGGAGCGCAAAAAGAAGTAAGTGGATTAAACCGTATTTGTTTGTCTTTTTTAACTATTTTAGAGTGATGCTTATTGTACCGGTTTATTTTTATCAAATTAGTTGTTTTGGTGTTTTGTTTCCTTTTAATTGCAAATGATGCATTCTAAACAAGTATCAATTTTTTGAGATATTGCAACATGAAGAATTTGTGGTTGTATCTGTGGTTCTTCATTGATCCCAGTCTGTCATATTTTCGAGTTCAAATTAAGTACCAAGGCCTTTTGGTTTAGTTATAAAGTGACCGCAAGACTGGAAAGTTTGAAGATTTTATTAATGTGGGAAGTCAGTAGAATGCATAAATTGATATTACACCTAGTATGAATATGTCACCAAGTGAAAAAATGCTTTGGTTGTTGTATAATATAGTATATATCAATATGCATAAATTATATAAATCAACTTTGTTAAAAAACTGGCACACCGATACGATGTGTCTACTCCGCTATTTGCAGTGTATTGGTGCATTTTGATATATTAAGTTGTGTGTGTTTTAGTGGTGCCCAAACTTTTAAAAAATTACAATAACTTGAAGTGTAATTTAAAAAAATTTGAAAAAGTACAAAATATTAAGTGGCGAGTCTGTTAGTGGTATTATGCATGCTACCTAAAGCAATAAAAGCCAGTTCCTAGGTAAAGACACAACTCATCACCTCAAAGAAAAAGAAGTAACCCCTCTGTTCTTTACTTCATCTCCTTCACACAATACAATGCATCAAGCTTTTTTAGTAGTTTGAAATATTGAGATTGAGTTTTATGCCAGTTACTTACTAAATATATGTGTATGTAGCTTTTATTTCTGTGCAACACGCTTAAGTTTATATACATTTATTTACATTTCAACCGCATTGTGGCTTCTGTTATTGACCCATTACACTATCCGCTACTTCTCATATCAGATCTCCGGCCTTCCTCGCGATCTGCTATTATTAACACTGATATAAATACCTTTTTTTGTGCTACATTTGGTGTGCTTATATAGCAATTAAAGTTGAACTTGTGAAATTTCTTTACTGAATGAATAACTCAACACATAAAATTAGCTTATTTTAATCTTATTCATGGTAAATTCTTCAGGTATGAAGCGAAAAAGAAGAAGCACAAAAAGGTTGAAGACGATGAATTTTTGGACTTTCCTGGAAAAGAAAAAATAAAATTTGGAGATATTGTACAAGCCCCACCAAAGTTATCATTCATTCCAAAAGTAAGCACTTGAAATTCTTAGCTTTACCCAATGGATCATACTATACTTAATTTAATTGTGTGGAAACTGTTCTGCTTGTGTACAGGGAGTCAAGGTTTCACAGGATGCTTCTCATGAGAGACTTAGACTTCGAGCTATAGAGGAATACAGGAGTCGGAAAGCATGGACATCAAGACCAGGAAATCACCAACCACCTCCTGTGACTACATCCGAGCCTTAAATGGTTTGCAGCATGTTCTTAAGGATACTCTGCTTAACCAAGAGAGTCTTGTGAACAAATAATTCAAATTCCACTCGGCTCTTTGATATTTTCCTCCTGGAAGGTGGGTTTTTCTTCATTCAGAAGTAACTTACAGGTTCTTTATAGAAAGTATGACCAAATGACACACTTGCACTTGTCCTGAAGTCATTAGTCACATTCAGTTTGATCCATGAAAAGTCGATATCTGAGTTACTAGATTGGTTAGCTTTTGTTTAAGTATAGAGAAAAGTATCGACTCAGAATGTCACTGCTGTTTGTATTGTGTCTTTTAAGTTTTCTTTAATTTATGCTTTCCTTTCTCTCAAATTTGTATTTGGAAATATAGACTCTTGAAATATGAAGTAAAAAGATCATGCCATGTCAAAACTAAATTGTCTAATGTCTAGCAGAACTTCACTGCATGAGTGCTTAATCTAATCCTTGGAAACAACAAAATGACACAACTTGTGGTAGATATGAAGAAAATGCTGTAACACTGTCTGCATGGTGGATTCATTGAATTCAGAGGTTTGGGTTATGAGTTTAGGAATGATGAAAGGTAATGGATTCAACGGACACAGTTCCATTTCCATAACAAGTTGGGATAGTGTTGGTGTTCGGCTTATTCCGTGATAAATAATATGAACACGGAGTTGTCTCACGTACTAGAGATTTGATTTTAGTAGCAATCATAAGAATGCTATTGAGTATAGGGCGTGTTTAGTTGTTCGGGCAACTCCGAACTAAATTGGAATTCAAATCAAATCAGAGTATGAGAAATTAACATGCCACTCTCAAAATTAAACATGTCACTCTCAAAATTAAACATGACACCTCCAATTTTTTTTATTCCAATTTTGCCTTTAATGAGTTACAAAGAAATTTCCGGATGAAATTTCTGGTAGAGGGGTTAAAATTTCCGGTACATATGAAATTTCTGGTATACCTTAACCAAATTTTCGGAAAGTGTAAATTTCCGGTGAATTGAAAAATTATAAACTTACATGACAATTTGAACTATTGGAAATTTTAAAATTTCTGGTATCCAGTAAAGTCTTGGGAATTTTGAAATTTCCGGTACAAAAGAAAAATGTTTACATCGGAAATTTCAAAAATTATGGTACAAAATATCTGATATGTTGCAAATTTATTGAAAATTTCTTAGTGTCTAATTAAATTTCTGTTTTGAAATTTCTGGTATCATTATTTGCTTGAATTTTTGAAAAATATTTGGGTTTGAATAATTTAGTCTTTTCATATCATTTAGGATATGTCATGTATAAGAAGGGGGTGAGATATTAATTTATTAGTCTTTTCACACCAATAAAACTCAATGATAATTGATTGAGACATGATATTTCTAATTTTCTTTCCGCAAACCCCTCTGTCCGCCCACAACTATAATTAAATCTCATGGAAAATAGTACCAAGTGAATAGCCATTTGTGGATATGTTATTCTATTTAATTTAATTTTTATTTGGTATTAGAAAATTGTTATTATTTACTATGTTAACTTAACATAGTGTTGAGTACTACCTTTGTTATTATTTACTGTGTTAACATAGAGTTGAGTACTACCTTTGTTATCATACTAATTAAAGTGATTAATTAACATTCAAAAATCATTTGTGTTAAATGTTTCTCAGGTTGGATATTTTTGAATCTATTATGCAAAAAATGCTATTATATATATATTTTTATAGTATTAAGGAAAATTAATTATCGTAAATTATTTTATTTAAGTATTTTTGTATTTTTAATGTATTTGATTAATTCAAACTAAACCAACATGTTGTTTTTTACTGATTTTTTATTATTTAAATTAAATCTAAATCAATATGTAAGACAATTTCTGATTGCACTTTTATATATTTTCTGGTTCTGCGTGAAATTTCTAAAATGTCTTATGATATTAGGACACATTAAATTTTATTTTTTTGAAAATAAAATTTGAAGATGCACAATCCAAGTCATTTCAAAGGTGTGTTCGGGGATACATCTTCGAATACATTTTTTTATAAATTCAAAAAAAATATTTCGGAGATGTACTTTCGAAGTAGGTGAATTTATTTAAAACCCGCGCTAGACTCTCCTTCTTCTCCTTGCTCATTTTTTAGAATACACAACTTTCTCTTTACTTCACTCTACCCATTCCAAGTTCTCATTCAAGATCAAGATTTAGAGCAACATTTACTTGTTTCTCATCATTTCCAATTTCTTATAACTACTGTATTCAACATCAGATCACTTTACACCCTTATAAACATATTTTGAGTAAATTTCTCATTTAATTTATTTTAATTTTTGATTAATGTATTAACTCAAGTATGTTAGTTTTAATGCATTAGATAGTTCAAATAGATTAATGTTCAAGTTTGGAGATTTTGTTTATATGATTTGGACGAGTTTGAATGCTAGGTCAATTGTAGAAAAATTTATGTCATTAAAGTAAATCAAAGCTTTTTTTCTTCCAGATATGCATCTCTGAGCTGTGCTGTTTCAGGTTTTCGGAGATGCATATCCGAACTCTTTCCTTCCTCATAATTTGTCATGTTTTTTTCTTCAAGGTTGTGGCTGAAAACCAAGAAAGGTTGTGACTAGGGAGGCCCACCCTAACTGTCTCTGTTCGCCGCGAGAGAGCTCGTCAGCACAAGCAGGATATAGTCGTCCCCTTCTGCCTTACGATAGGGAGGCGTCAACCTCTAGGAGTCGAATATCACGGGGGTCGGGATTCCAGAATCGTGTGCACCATGATGAGGATGCCTAGTTGCACTATAGGTTACAATAGCTAAGGATTCTCCCTTGCAGACCCTTTTTCAAGAGGGTCCACAAACACTTCTTTAATGAATTACTTTGAAGAGCATGTAGCTCCGCATGTCTGGGACAAAGAGGTATATTTTTGAAATTCCTCTAATTTTATTTTGTATCCAAATTCAACTTAACTGATCTTGTTATATTTTTTTCCAACAAGAGCATGAATGTCTGAAATCTGTGAATCATGTAAGAAAGGTTCACAATCTTTATCAGCCTGAGGAAGTCTGGTTCTAAAATGCACTCCAGAACTCCAGGTCTGCAGGTCTTTGTGCTTTCGGGTACATCAACATCACCATGGCATGCAAACCGCATTTGCTGAGAGATGGCATAGTGAAAGTCATCTTCGACCTCTCCATTGGTGAGATGACTATTACACTAGATAATGTAGCATGCCTCTTACACTTTCTATAAGAGGAAAGTCGCTTGATCAATCTAAGATCAACAAGACTGAAACAATTGATATGATGGTGACTTATTTGGGAGCTGAATATGCAGAAGCCTTTGAGCAGTGTAGAAACATCAGGGATGCACATGTCAAGTTTGCTTGGTTGGTGGACTTATATGGCAAAAACTTGGATACATCTGAACACCATGACCCCGATGATTTATGGGTTACCTACCATAGGGAGTATGCCCTGAGGTGCTTCTTCCTATTCTTGGTTGGCACTTCCATGTTTATGGACAAAAGTGAAAATTACGTAAATATGACTTACCTCAAATATTTCATCGACTTGGAGTCTATTCACGAGTGGAATTGAGGGGCAGCGTGCTTGGTTTACCTCTACCACAATATGAACGAAGATTGTAAATGGATGACAAAGCAAATGACAAATGTACCCTGCTTATGGTAATTTTCATGAAGTCAGAAAACAATGGTCTTATAGGGAGGGTTACATGACATGGTTCTATAACGTGTCACACTCTTACATGACACAGAACGCTCCTGGACGTCCACCTACGCCTGCTCATGAAGAGATCTTGAAGAATGAGCAGGCACATGATAATCATGCTATTGACGTCTTGCTGGCCTGTTAGACTATCATGTAGATGACAAGAGAGGGCATCGATTCTGGACTGTTCAAAACAGGTGGAGATGAAGCGGTTTCTCTAGCACGTTCCATTATTTTCGAGACGCAAAATGTCTTAGGTTACTGTAGGAAGAGGAAGAGCCAGTGTGTAATACCTTAAATACCCTGACGTAATTTATAATAAAATCAAAGTAAACTAAAACCAATTTAAACATTTAAGATGTCACGTCATTCACCAACATACTCATGCAATACGATACGTAACACATATTAAGACATAAACCATATATTTTTCATGTCTGGACTTCAATAATTTTATTAGCAGCGGAAAACATCAACAATAATTAGTTTTAACTCTCCAAGATGATTTATAATAATGAAAATCCAAAATTGACATCAATCACCAAGATTATCCAACGAATAGAGTTATACATAAGTTCACTCCTAACATAATTAAAATAAACATAAATTCTCAGTGTTATGTATCAGAGCAGACACCAACTCAACCTATTTAGTAAGAGGGCAATCTCCTCAGCTAACCTCAATCACGAGCTACTTCTGAGTATCTGCATGTTACCCACATAGAAGTAACATTCAAACAATAAGTGTGAGATATCATAATTATATAATAGAATGTATAATAATAAGTGAACATCATATTATTACAATCACAACATACATTCCAATAATATATCACACACATACAATACAACAACACCACACCAATACAATGCAATGAGATTTAACAACATCGACTCAATGCATGTGGTATCAAGATGTGAACTCTTAGGTTCACCGCTCAGATCCCCACCTAGGATTAAAGCTTTCCAAACGGACCTCCGTCCAAAATCGTTACTAATGTAATGCTTCATTAATCCACCACCATAGGAATTAGCTACTCGCATCCAATCCGCACAATAGGGTTGAGGCTCACAAAATAAGGACTTTTGTCCAACACCATGAACGCATGTAACATATTACATATGCAACACAATAAAATGCACAAAGACCTTCACCATAGCCACTATTGTCTACCATGCACCAAACACTTGTCAAAACATGCAATAAAAACCACACGACGATATAGCAAACAAGTATAATGCCTTTGCACAATTTCCACAAAACCACATAACTCA